GTCTCATTGGCAGTGACGTCTTACACTCTCTGACATGGCTGAGGTTCCCCAGTATTCTGGTGTTTCTAGCAATGGATTGCTCTACTGACACATGCCTCTGAGAGCCTCTGACAGGCCAATAGCCTGGCAACCCAGGGTTCCTGTCAAAGACTCCTGTCCCTTTGGCCTTCCCTTGGAGGTCCCTGAGAGGCCCACACAATTCACAACAAATGAATATAACAAGCAGTTATATCTTTCCACTACAGTCCGCAACAATGAAAAAGCACAACAAAAAATGAACACAATAGTAACACTAAATGTCTGCAGACACTAGCCAAAAACAGATGTTTAAATGGATTACCTCTGGAGGTAGACTCACAGGTGAATTTAGGGGTGACTGTCAGCTGGTCTCCTGAGGGGTCTGGGTCCTCTGGGGGCCCTGGAATGTTACCAAGGGGCACCTCCCCTCAGAGGGACCATAACCTGTGCCTCTCTTGGAGGCCATCTGAGGATCACCAGTGCCAGAGTCTGGAAGATCTTGCTGGGGCCTCCAAAATGTGCCCAGAGGTTCCACAAAGACCACACTGCCAAATAATTTAAACTTAAAGAGGAGTCCGTTTACTGAAGAGGCAGCCAGTAACAGTCCCCAACATGGGGTTTCTGAGAGCAGCCCCGAGTACTTAAAAGGTTGGGTTTTTAAGGCTTGGTCTTCATCCTGGTTGCAACAAAGGCTGTCCAGTTGCATCTGGGTAGGTTAGCAAGCAAGCATTGTACAGAGTAGAATTTTGTGGTTAGTTAGTCATACGTCATACATCTTTTTTAAAAAAATATTTTTCCCCTATACATCTTAGTTTCAGTACTTTCCCCCATACATTTTAGTTTCAGTACTTTCCCCACCTGTTATTATTTAAAAGTCAGTTTGGAAATAGTTGGTACCTCCCTGTCTGTTTCCCAGGGAGTTAGCCAAGCAAGAAACTCGGAGTGAACTAGAAGCAAGAAATTAATTAGTGCTTTTCCATCTATCTCAGGAGTGAGCTAGACTTATTTCTTTTTTTTTTTGAAAGCTTGCAGTCTGGAAATTTGCAGGACTTAACTGGTATTTTTCCACTGTAGCCTAGGACTGACACTTTTCTGTCTTAGCCTAGACCTACTAGGCCTAACAGTATGATTCCACTTACATGAGACAGAAAGTGGAGAGAGAAATGGTGAGTTATTATTTAATGGGACAGAATTCAGTAGGTTATCATGAAAAAGTTCTGCAGATAGATGTAATATGCTGTGACCGTACTTAATGCCACTGAATTGTACACTTAAAAATAGTTAAAGTGGTAAAATTTTGTTATGGATATTCTACCACAATTTTTAAAATTACTAAAAATAATAGTAATTTTTTTTCCAATTCCATGCAAAGAATGAACAACTTAATAAGAAGTCTGGTGAATAAGCTGGGCCTGAATGACCACAAAGCCCTCCTGCAGATGGCCACTTATTTCTGCTTAAAGGACCTCCACAGGGATCTTCAGAGATCCACCTGGCTGCCTGGTCTTTATAGGGGGTGGTTGGAATCAGACAGTCCAGAGTTTCAATCCCAGGACCATGGCTGCCTATGGGGAATTGTGGGGGTCATTCCTGGCCCTCAGCTGCCTCATCTCCTCCTCTCTACAACAGGGGCAATAACACTTACCCAGCTGGTTAGGGACACTCACTAGATAAGGTGCTTTCCTCTCCTCCCTGTACCTCCAGGCTAGCACCCAAATGGTCCACATTATCCTATCCAACTTGTCTGGAATCCTGTGGCCTACACTGTCACCATAGACTCAGACTCTGGATGCTCCTCACCTCTGCCCTGCCTCACTGGCCCAGGCCACCATCATCCTCTCCCTGTCACTTCCCTGGTTCTACCTGTGCCCATCAACTATGATCCTTTCTAAACAGGAGCCAAATCACACCCCTCCTCTGCCAGAATGCAACCCACAGGTGCCTTTCCTGGCAGTGCCCTCCCCCAAGGGCCTCTCTAGAAGGGCCTGGCCCTCAGCTCTTCCCACGCTCCTGCTCTGATCTCCAGGGGTGCTTATTTATCCCCATGTGACACATGACTTTTCTCTTCAATGTGTTTATTGCCTGATGCTACACTGAAATGCAGGCTCCAGGAGGGAAAGCACTTGGTCTAGTTTTGTTCTCTGCCTTGTCCTCACTACCAAAATCAGTGACTGCACAGAGGGGTAGCTCAGAAATTCCTGGTGAGGCTTGGTGCCCATAGCACAGTGGTTATGGTGCTAGCCACATACACCCAGGCTGGTGGGTTTGAACCCAGCCTGGGCCAGCTAAACAACAATGACAACTGCAACAAACAAATAGACAAGTGTTGTGGCAGGTGCCTGTACTTCCAACTACATGGGGGCCTGAGGCAAGAGAATCACTTAAGCTCAGGAGTTTGAGGTTGCTGTGAGCTGTGATATCACAGCACTCTACCAAAGGCAACATAGTGAGAATCTGTCTCAAGTAAAAAAAAGAAAGAATTCTTACTGAGAAAATGAATCAGGAAGGGAAAGAGTGAATGGCCAAGATTGGCTCTCTCATGGGTAGAAGATCCCAGAGCTCCTCAGGAAAGTTTGGACAGGGGCAGGTGTAATTAGAGCCATTCTGACCCCACCCCAGCCAGAGTCAGAGGGCACAGGTAGGACAGCTGCAGCCCAGCAGATGGCAGCTGGCCTAGTAACTCTCCTTTCATCTTTATCACGCCTGGCAAGTTGGGTATCAAGACGGTTATGTTAATCAGTTTGATGCAAGCATTCCACATTGTGTATCAAATCAGAACTCTGTACCTCATAAATGCATTAATGTACACAGTTATGATTTAATTAAAAAAAAAAAGTCTTTTCACAGATGGGGACACTGAGACACAGAGACACGAAACAAGTTGCCCAAGGCCACATGGCTGGTGAGTGGGGTGGGTCTGGTTTCCTCTACTGCCAGGCTGCCCCTTCCCCAAGAGCAGCCAAGCAGTGGCAGACCACACCCTCAACCTGACAGCACCAGCAGGTGGTCATCCTGGTTCTCCATACACTTATGGCCAATCTGGCCTTGGAGGGTAGTGAGACCTCCTTTTACCAGGGTGAGAGTCGCTTCCAGGGAGAGGGCATGTCACGACTCTGGGGCCAAGTTTTCCCTGGCTCTGGATTGATTGTCCCTCCAGGGTTACTCCTTTCTGCAGAGGAGGGGTGTGATTGGGGCTTGGGAATGGGGATGGACACCCTTATCAACTCATATTTGCAGAATACAGCAAGATTCTGTCCAGACCAGCCAGAATGGCAAATGGCAAGAGTGACAGTAATGGAGAAAGGGGACCACGGAGCATGGTGGTCTCAATCCTGCCACCTGATCTGGTGTCACAGGGAACTGAGGTGCCCACCCAGCCTTGGGGGCAAGGCCTATACCTTTCATCTCACACTGCAGCAATAGCCACCAGTGACTGAGGAACCAGACCTGTCTTCCAGAATTCAAGAAACCCCGCAGGCATGTGGACGTGCCGTGGGGTGAGAAGTGGGGACACCCTGGTGGAGAAAGACATTGCTCTGGCCCTTTTCTAGTTCCCTTACTTACTCCCACCTTGGCAGGGAGGAGAGGGGAGAATCCTCCCGCTTCCTGAGGTTTTACTACAAACTAGCTTGACTAACCTTGTGAAAGTCACTCAGCCACTCTGAGCCTCATTTCTCTTTTCTGGAATATGAAACTAGAACCTAATCTCTCAGGCTCCTTAAGGTCTGAAGTATTTTGCATATTGCTGGGGACACAGCAAGAACTGAATTAATGCTATTTCACATCCCCTATCTGACTCCATAGTCCCTCCACAGCCAGGGCTGGGCTGTGCCACATTGGAGCACATTGGGGCAACCAAGAGGACCCTTTGGACTTAATACCTTCCTCTGGAAGGATCGGCCTAATGAGGCTGTCAGTCCACAAAACTCATTCACCATCAACCCAATGCCCAAGAGGGAATCACCACCTGGGGCTCTGCTAAGGATCTGGGTGCCTGCCCAGAGTGTCTTAGCAGCCCCTTGGTTAGACAGTGAGATTGGACTGCTCTTTCAGTGGGCAGCATGGCTCTGCCATTGCTGGCTTTGCTTGGGAGTTGGTGGACTGGGGCCCAAGTTCTCTGAGGGTCAGCATCCAGAGGACTCAGAATATCAGAGTAAGCTCAACCAGGAATAGTGGGAAGAGCACAGTGCAGAACGCCCACATGTCATCACACCTGCTGCCTCTGGGACTTCACTAACCTCTAGGAAATAGGTTAGGAAAATATCTGCACTCCTCTACATCCCAGGATGGTTTTGAGGATGCCAAGGGTTCAGGGGAAGGGCTTTGGATACAGCAAAGTGCTTCAACGCCTACTGACAGTCGTGCCGCTGCTACGAGAGAGTAACTGCTAAGTCTGTTCCCAGCCAATGGCAGCAGGCAAAATGCAACAAAGACAATATCTCCAAGACTGACAACTCCCCTGTCCTTTCCTTTTCATGAAAGCCTGAAGGCATCTAATGCACTGGCCAGCTGTCCCAGGGCAACACTGAGACAGACAGAACATTTCCTGAAAGTGGAGGAGCTGTCACGGGGCTCCCCAGGGTGTAGATGAAAGAAACAAACACTTGGAAGCAGCACAGCAAAGGACTATCTAACAGGGACACCAATAGAATGCCTTACAGAAGCTACAAAGCAATTTCTGAGAATGAGAGACAAAAATCCTGCAGTGAACTTCTAATGACTGCTGAGGAAGCAATTCCTAGCAGTCAGCTTTTATGGTCATAGGGACAAGAATCCAGGCCAAGTTGATGGAGGCACAGAGGACCACCCAGAACCCCTATAGTGGTTCCCTCCTATCTCCTTCCAGGAAACAAGGAGACCACTATGTACTGCTTCCTCCTGTCTGAGCAAGTGACTGAACTTGCCCTTCTTCAGGGTCATGTCCTGCTTGAAGTGACTCAGGGGATTGCAGCTCTTAGACCAGCTTAGGAAGGACCACTCACTTGTCCACAATAAAGTAAATGTCAAAGGCTCCATTGCAGAACTCCGGAATCTTCTCCTTCCCACGGCCTTTGCCATGCCTCACATTCTGCTCTTGGAAGCTCATGGAGTCTGAGTGTGGACGGTGGTAGATGATTCTCTGCCGAGGGTTGTCATGCTGGAAGCTCCTCATGCTAAGCAGCAGCGGAGGTGGCAGCAGCAGTAGGACAAGGGTAAAGCCAGGCACCCAAGGGCCATGGCGCCCCATTTTCTTGGCTGTCCCTGTGACCCCAGCTCACTCTTCAGTCCTTGGGCCAGGGCCCAGGTTCTCTGAGCAGCAGCCACTTCCAGTCACCTTCTCTGCTGCCTCCACCTGTGCCTGGTGTCTGCACCGCTTCTGCCCTACCACCTGTGCACAATGTGGCCCAAGACCAGCAGATACCTGCCCAGATCACAGGGACCAGGTCAGTGGCTGGCTCTGGGGACACCAGCCTCAGCTATCTGCCTGCCCTTCCCCCACCCTAGAGGCAGAATTCCCTGATGTTATGATTGATGGGAAGGTTGACATGGTGACTTTGTGACCTGCAGGTCTGCCCAATCAAAGTTCAGCATGTCAACCATCCCAAGGGGGTGTCATAGGATCTTTGAGGAGTGTAATGGGAAGCCTCCGGTTTCCCTGTTTCCCTCACAGGTGTCCCTTCAAATCCCCATGGAACCTGCCTTTTTGTTAACTGACAGGTACCTTTTCTTGCTTAGGTAAGGAGGCCACTCTCTGTGAAGAGGTCAAGGAACTGGGAGGCCAGAGGGTTGGAAATGGAGAGGGTAACTGTATGAATGAATTCTGATATCCACAGGGAGGACAGGATCTAGAAAGAGATGAAGACCATGTGATGTTGCCAATGTCTTTATAAATAAGGAACATGCCAGTTCTTTACTGCCTCATGCTTAGTGATGCAAACCAAGAACCATTTTATTATATTCACATATTCTGAGGAACAGACATTCAGAGAGGGCAGAGTGGGAAGGGCTCCATGTATCCAGGGCCTCCAATGGGAAGACTTGGGTAGCTAACGTGACTTCAATGACTAGGACCTAGAATCATCGGAAGGTTTAATCACCCGAGTGTGGCAACTAGTCAGGACTCAAATGCTGTGCTCAGCTGTGTTGATGTTAATGGAGATCCCACACAGGTCCTCTCCTTGTGACTTGGGCTTCCTCACAGCACAGTAGCTTCCAGGTGCTTAGACTTTTTATATGGGGGCTCTGTGAAAAAACGTGAACCTAAAAGAGCTAATTTTACAAGATGGATTCTGAGTGGCTACCCGGGTCTAAATAGATCCAAGAGACTATTCGCTGACTAGGGCATACATATATACTCCAAGTTCCTGAAAGCCTGTACCTCCATCTTCAGTCTTAGAAATCAATCAGCCCCCCTGTCCCATACAATCAACAGTCAGCTCTATCAACCAGTGAGGGTTCAGCTGTATTGACCAATCTTAGCTCAGTTGACCAATCTAAAGCAAGCAAGTTTCAAGCCTTTCTTTTCATAAACAGACCTGATTTGGAACCTGGGTAGGAAATTTTGCCATAAAATTCAGGCTCTTTGTTTTCTGGCATACCCCTTCATTTTACAGCAGAGACTGCATCTTCCTGGTTTGCAAATTGTTCATTAGAATAAGCCTCTTTTCTCCAACTTCCTTTTTGAAGATCTTTTCTTTACAGCTCAGAGTTCCAAGAGTGAGTGTTTCCAGTGGGCAAGGTAGAAATTGTAGAGTCTTTTATGACATCACCCTGGAAGTCATATAGTGTCACTTCCACTGCACTGTATTGATTGGTCAAAACAGTCACAAGCCAGACAAGATTCAGTGGGAGGGATGAGAGAACACAGGTTTCACCTCTCAAGGGGAGGAGAGTCAAAAAGTTGACTCTGGTGTTGAAACTGCTACATGGAAGAGGCTTTTTGTAAATCTTGCAAGAGTCAATCCTTTAAGCTGAATCCTGAGTCACTAACTTGGCCTACATTCAGATCAGAACCACGTGACTATCTGCTGCCTAGAAGTCATATACTGTGAGTTCCCAGAAACCCCCTCACTACTTACCTTTCGGTTTTTCGTCGTTGCCTGTTCCTGCTTAGGAAGTCTGAACCAACCAATAGGCTGTGACCTATGTCGACCAATCAGCAATGCCAACCAATTAGAACTAAGAAAATTTGATCCCCTTATTTGTAAAGTAGACCTCAGAGCTGACCTAGACAAAAACTTTCTCTAGGAAAGACAAACCTTTGTTCTAAGGAAGATACCTTCATTTGAAGGTTTGCAAACTGTACACTGGAAAAAAGACTCTTTAAATTTGTTTTCGGAGAAATTCTATTCACATTTTGAATGGCTGAGAACTTATATTGTTTGGCAAAACATGGGCATAGAAAACTTTTATTCAAAAGAAATTCAGAAACGCCATAATTGTTGTGATTATACAACAATTTTAGAAATACCTTATTCAATACATTTTCTTCGGTTTTGAAAGCACAAGAGTGATACATGATTTTTTTGAAAAACCTCTAATAAATCTAAAACATCTTTCAATAATTATAAGTGATTTTAAAACACTGAGTTGGTGGTAGAGTTTGTCTGTTTTCTCTTTGGGAGTTGTATTTAAAATAATAAAAATATCTTAGTCATTTCTTTTTTTTAGAATAAATGAAAACTGGTCTACCTCTACCAATAGCTATTACATCTTTTGCTCCACATCTTTCATGACTCTTAATAATTTTATGTATTTGGCTAGTGGTTAAACATCTTGTTTTAATTTGTAGTGTAGTAATTACAGAAAGGATTGGTTATCCATTCACATGAATTTTGGTCATTCGTGTTTCCTCTTTTGAGTGCGGACTCATGCCTGTGTCCATCCTCACTTGGGGTGCTTACCTCTTTTACATTGATTCATTAACATTCCTTATATATTCTGGACAGTTATCCTTTATCAATTGTTGCAAATATCTTTTTCCAGTGTGTGGCTTGCTTTTTCTTATTGCATTAATTTTTTATTTTTTCAAATAAAGCAGAAGTTCTTAATGCAGTTGAACCGTCATTTTTCGCCCTTGCCCTATCCCACCCTCCACCCTCCACTGGCAGGGAAGCCCCCAAACATCTTTCTTTACGTTCTGGGCGGTCAGGGAACTGCTTTTACTTGGCAGACTCCTACCACTTCACCCCATGGAAGCCTGGAAAAGGCGGGGAGGCAGCGGGACAAATCTGTCTAGGGGCTGGGCGACTGACTGACTTTCCTAGGAGCTTGCCGGGCCCCCGAATCCCCGAGGGGAAAGGAGGTGGGGGCGCATTGCTGGCCTCCTCGGTGGCGCAGACAGGAGCGCAGGCCTGGCGCGTACAACTTGTCTGACAGCGTCGCTGCCCCGCCGGCCCAAGAGCGGAGAGGTCCGGGAGCCGAGGGCCGCAGCCGCGGCGAGAGTGGGCACCGGCTCCATCGGCTCCCGGCAGTCTACGAACCACCAGGAGGCGGGTGTGCGGAGCTGAGCCCCTGAAGGACAGGCCTGGCAGCGGCTCCCCAGCCCGGGGCGACCCTCTCCGCATCTCCCCGCCCTCTGCATCCCACGCGGAAGGTCGGCGGGGACCCGAGTGGAAGGAGGACGCGGAGGCCCCGCCCCCCGAAGGCGGGTGCAGCGGTGGGAGGAGGGGCCTGATTGTCTCAGGGCTTGAGATGCAAGTTCACAGCGGCGCGCTGGGCGCTCGCCGGGGAGGCGGTTGCATCTACGCGCGCGCCCCTTATCCCGCTTCGCCGGAGAGCCCAGGTGAGACCCGCTCTCTTGTCCTGTCGGGACAGAGGCGCGAGCAGGCATGGACGGTGGGATCCATCTCTC